CTACATCATAGAGCAGCACTTGGCCACAAGGTTGGTATGTTTGTAAATTTCTATGAAGTTGTAATCTCGTAATGATTTTATACAGAAGAATGGACTGAGTTGGTGGTCACATCCAAATGCACCTGATCCCCATCTCATTGATGCCCCTAAACCAGCAAGAGGCACTGGTATTCCTCAGAGGGTACGCAAGAAGTAGAAACCAGGAGAATAAAGAGACAAAACCACTTCCATAATCATAATAAAGAGTCCATTGAACGATTTCATCAATATTGTAAGCTTGTGTTTATGAATCACTATCAAATACTGATGATACCATGTTTCGAAAAGGTGAGTGTATCCTGGCCAACCGATGACAGCTATCACAAACACATGGACAGGCAAATCAATTGTTCAGAATAAACCACTTTTTGAAAGCTTAATGTTATGTGGTGATCAAACAACTATTGAGCACCTACTACAGCTGTTTTCTACACAATTGCTACAGGATCTAGACATCTAGACTACCATCTAGTCTCTGAAATGAACATATCGTACAGAAAAAACAGTTGCTCAGTTATCTTAATAAAAATATAATAAAAAGGGAGCCCAGTGATTCTCTTCATTTTCAGATACTGCAGTAATCTAGACTTGCCAAACATTATAGACTTGCATGGGCTGTAGTTGATATATTTGTATCAGGGTCTGTAAGACAGACTACTAGACAGACGTGTATCATAATGTGTAGTCCCTCAGGGTGGTTCCTGATTCTTGAAAACAACAAAATGACCCATAATTATGTAATCTGGCTGCATGGTGTTCTCACCCAAACAAAAGTTTTCTTTCAAACATGTCCATCAACATCTGATGCAGGCATTTTGTTAAACTTTACCCTTTTATTAAACACATCTCTGATTTGTCATTCATTGAACAAATCATTAAACTAACAGAAAGCTGTGCCTTTCTTTCTTCACACATCTGTTTCTAATGCAGCCGTTAATATCAATCTCTGAAAAAAGTATTTATCAAAAGCTTAATCAATAGATCCTGCAAAGAAAGAATTGCCACAAGGAAATCATTGTTGCATAAACGGAGACAATTGCACAGCCTTTCGGTACAAACATGTTCACTGTTGTTGTGATAAAATCCAGTATTTCAACTGTCAAGACAACCCATCTGCAATTTGCTGTATCTCACTTGGCTGAACAGCAACAATAGCCCTTTCAGGATATTTTCCACACAACAAATAACTACACGTGACTTCATTATCACTTAGCTCAGCATGTTTAACAATAGCTAGTGTTACATCAAATCATGTTTCAGAGAAAACCACTGTCTGTACAAATCAAAATGTAACAAATAAAGTATAGCTTACAAAATATTCACTGAAAGCATCTGGCTTAGCCTACTTTGAATGGAATGTAGAAACAGGAACATGGTGGGTACCCAAACATAAAACATCTCGTAGGTAGGTTACATTTGCCCAAGGGCTACACCTAGCCTGGAGAGTTACATAGCAAACCTGATAACACTTGGATGTGTGTTGAGAAATACACAGCCAAACTCTAATTACACATTATTCACTTGTCATCACCCTATATTGCTGCTTTATAAACTTCTGGTTATTCATCCAACTGTTCCCGATAACTGTGACTTCAGATCTTGAGATTGGAGAAGAAATGTAGCAAGCTATCTTTGGAAGTTTAAGACCGTCAATAAATCTTCCACCTACATGATATAAGAATGTCCATGAGATTACAACAAGGGTCCTATGTCTCTGTGCCCCTATTTGCGTGATATGTGTCACACGTTCAGTACAGGAGGAATACACTTTGTACATGGGAATTTCAACTGTACTTATAACAGACAACTACAGATAGAAACGTCATAGATTACACAGCTGGATCATATTGAGGCAAGCTAATTGCCATTAGAGACTAATAAACTGTAACAAGTGAATGTCTTTTCAACATTTTTCTACTTCTTATATAACAATGATAACAAGACACCAAAGTGATTTTTGATGTAACTTTGATAATAAATGAAACTGCCACTATTACGTATATATACCTTCTTCAAAATGATCGGTACAAATTGAAGACCCAGGTTCTCATCCCAAGTTTATCAGATCTGTAAGTGATATTTAACTTTTCACCCAACTTTTACAACTTTTCGAAGTTCTTAACTTACACTGAGCACAAAACTTGGAACCATGAAGTCATGAATGGAACTTTGTAGAGAAATGAAACTGCCACTGGACAACCGATACAGACTCATGCAGTCCTGGATATGTGATCTCCTACCTGTAAGCCATCTGTTACTGCAGCATACCACCCTGCCTCTCTACAGCTGTTTCACTGGTACAAAGCATCAGAAAACCATCCAACAATCAACAACAACCAACACAAAATCTGAGATCTCAATCCAAACAGGATAATATGACTGTCACGAATACCACAAATTGACTTCTACCTATATAGGTAATCCAATATAGATCTACCTACCTCCACGAGCTGTGGACTCCATTATAAGTCATGGTCCCCTGATCTCGTAAATATATCCTGGCCGACCCTCCATATGCCATCTTGACCGTTTACATGTATGTATCCACCTCCGCTCAAACTGTATAATCCTTCTTGTTAATCCTTCTCTATCTCCTCAGTGGCCGCTGCCCATTACAGCACTATACACAAGCCAGGGTCTGTCAGTGTGGTTTCCGACACACACTCAGCCGCTATCGCTGGCCCACTGCAGCGAGCCAATCAGGACACTCGCCACCTTTGTGATTCACTGGTGTCAGGGCATTGTGGGATGGGGGAAAGTAAACACAGCCACATGTCATTGTGAGGGGATCAATCCAGGACAGCCGGGATCATTATGATATCATCCTAAGCAAGTTATGATTGACATAACTGTACACACATAGGATACTGTACAAGATGATACTCATTCATCCAAACAGATAACCTTACATACATGACTGACTTTCATTTACCTATATATGCTCAGAGTAAAATAAATGTATTATGTATATTATAAATATTTTGATTAATGTCCTGATTTGTTTGATAGGCATTACTTAGAAGTTGACGTGTGACAAAATAGACACAATTTATGGATAATAACAACTTCTTTAATACTGTAAAGGCGACGTTTCGGTATAGATCCTTATACCATGGTCAAGTAAGACTTGCTTAACAATGGTATAAGGATCTATACCGAAACGATTATGCAACAATTGATTTAACGAAAAAAAATTAGTTTAGTTTGGAGACAAGTGATGGAAAGATAATGTTTTGATAAATATTAACAATTATATTTATAGGTATAGATCTTTATACAGTCCTATGAACTATGCTGTTGATCTTAAATAATATTATATGAGCATATGAGCATGTGTGTCATACTGATTTTATGAAATGAGTGTAAAAATTCTTGTATTTCCCGAGCGAAAGGATAATACATTAATTCTTATATATTTGAGTTTAGTAAAATCAGTATGACACACCTGTGAGTGTAATAATTTATTTATTACCTGTTATGTCTTAATACTTTTGTGCTTTCCATCAGAAAAATGCACAGATCACAAATTCAGCCTTGTGTTTTTATGCAGAAACAAGGTCATCATAATAAATTCTTTGTGTACCTGGGAGATTAAGAACAGGATCAAGTTAATCCCATATAGTGTGCTACCTGTACCTGCTTGGTGAGTGTCATGCACACCAATTACCTGGACATACAGGTAGATACTCATCAATTACCTATTGTGTATACACTAATTGCTCCGTCAGCTCTGATGTAAGGCCCAGGTATGTTGTCATAGTAATTAACACCATTGTTCAACAAATTCAGGTGATTGTCATTTACATGTCTATATTTGCTTGTGACAAAACCTTGAAATATCAATTACAAGCCAAGCTGTCTTGTCTTTCAATCATCACACACCTCTCACAGCATCAAAGATTCAAGATATATATCAAACGAGAAAGTGTGTTCTTGTCATTTATGACCGCCACAAGACTGATTTTGCATTTATGTTTTGGTTGTGTTTTATCATGTGTGGAAATGAACACAAAAAGTAGAAAAAGCTCTGAAAATAACACATAAAACAAAATACTGTTCAAAATTGTCCTTACCTTCAATTTTAAACGCTCACAGAATAGTTAACTTTCAATATTGTACAAGTGTATTCACATTTACGCATACCCACACACAATTTCTATCAATATAATATATACTTCTCCACTTTTGATAGTTATACCCAAAACTGATTCATATAATGTCAAGTGTGTACTGAAATAGGGCAACACTTCCGCCCATATCCCCTCAAAAATATATATAACAAGGGCAAAAGTGAGCATGGCTGACTAATACCCCCGACCCGCCTGGTGTGTCAGTAGTTTCAAATCAAATAATGGATAGGGTTAGGGTTTGAAAAATTCATTAAAAAATGGAAAATTAATAAAAACAATATTTGTTCTTTTGACTGCACCCCTTCATATGACACAGATAATATGTACTAAGTTTGAGATAAATCCACTGAATAGTTTAAGAGAAATCGCACAGACAAAGTTTTTGGAGGGTCAGGGGTATAATTAAAAATTGAGCAGCAATGCATACAAATACAACTTTTGAAGGGGGATACAGGCGGAAGTCTTTCATTAAATAGAATGAAATATTTCATTGTCCCTTTTAAAATTTAAGAAGTATATTTGCAAATTGGTTGTCCTAGAATATTATTTGTAATTACTACTTGCCTTACCTTCAGTGAGATGTAATCATTTATAAATTTCTTTAATAAAATACAGTTACTAATGACAAGACAGTGTTGGTGATCAACTTGTTTATTATAACTGTAGACATGTTTTGATGTAGATTCTAGCACTGTTGTCAAGGGAGTAATAATCAACATCTTTATTACAGCATTGTTGCTAACTTATGAATGACCATCTATACGATCTTGTCATTAGTTACGTATCCAAATTCAAAATGTCACTCAAAGATCCTGAAATATTGTTGCTTACCTTTGTGTCAACCCTGGATCTCTCTTCTGAAACACAATGGCAGAATGTCAATATATAAAATAATTAACTGATAATATAATATCAGCAGACAACTTGATGGCACATAAATATTATATGAAATGATGGTGAAGGGATTGTTTTCAACTAGGGTACTACAAATATGTTCCTGTCTGTGTACCAAAATGTACCCTATCCCAATAGGATACACAAACGTACCCTAGCTTGGAACTGTTGAGCCCTAAGTCTGGACATTAGATTTGCACAAGTCTCTAAGACAATAATTATTAGTTTGAATCACAAGTTCTAGATTATGTAAATAGAACAAGTTGTACCTATAAGAGACTTGAGTCCTTAGTGTTGTCCACGTATGTAGACTTGCTTAGGAGTATTGAATTACTACACATCCATGGACTTTTCTTTCAATACAGCCTTTGAGAAAGGCTATCTGGACACGTCTCTTCCGCAAAACTGTATTATGAAATGGATCCATTTGTGTCAAGCGAACACTGTCGAGCTCGGTACTTTTGTTGATTGTAAATAGGGTACATTTCAGCATAAAAAAAGTACGTTGGGTACATATCTGTAGTACCCTTTATGATAACTACCCTTACCGACAGACACCACACATGGAGAACAATCCACCATTCCTACATGCTCCACAGCTCCACTAGAGCAGGATCTTGTTGCACTGAGGACTTGTTTGTTCTTGTGCTTATGATATCAAGCGAGTGGCCATATTGTTAACACTAATTAAGCTGTTCATACGTGTGTGTTGACATTTGAAGAGATTATCACCACACTGCTGTTGTGCAGTTGAATAACATACTGTATCAAATTTCAAGTGTTATATCAAATATGTAATGCATTTTCATTTCTTCTTGTAAGTGTAAAAATCTAAATATTTTTATGAAGTTTTTATCAATTTGAGGCCTTCACAGACTGGTGCACAGAGCTACTCCCCCCCCCCCCCCAACCCCAACCCCCTTAATTGAACCACCAATGCTCAATGGATGTTGTAGTTAAATTATGGGGATTGGATGGCATGTTTTAAGACCCATTAATTTACAATCTGCTGTGGTGTAACTTGAATATTGTTGGCTACAGTGTGAACAACCATTTTTGTCTGATTAAGTAAGTTGGAGGTTTCATGCAGCTTCGAACAGCATTTTTGGTTGGCTTGATGTGGGAGGAAGCCCAAAGTAATGCAGGTCAATACCAATTTGTGGACACCATAAGCACGGTTATGGTGCAGACAAACCATGAAAAATATGGGATTCAAACCAACCCTCATAGGTTTCTTGGATAAAAAAGGGATACAACTCTGCACAGTGATTCAGGGTGAGTGAGTATAGTTTTTTGCAGCTTTTAGCAATATTCCAGCAATATCACAGCGGAGGACACCAGAAATGGGCTTCACCTGTTGCACCCATGTGAGGTATCGAACCCAGGGCTTCAGCGTGATGAGCGAACGCTTTGACCATTAGGCTACCACATCACCCCTCACAGCAATCCAGAGCCACTCTCTACTTGACAACCCCAAGAAAAAATGGGTTTTATAAGGTAGCCTAGTGGTAAAAGCAGTTACTTATTTCCCGAAGATCCTGGTTTGATTCCTCCAATGGGCACAATACGAGAATCCTATACTTCGTGTCCTCCATTTTGATTTTCTATAATATTGATAAAAGCAGGTAAACCCAACTCACTTGCATTGATAAAATAAACATTCAATTTTCTGATATTATTTTACCTGAAATCATTTATATCGGTATAGACTTACACAAGGCAATAATTATAAGTTTAAATCATAAGTTCTAGATTATGTACATAAAAACAAGTTGTCCCTATAAGAGGCTGGAGTCCTGTCCACATATCTAGACTTGCCTATTAGGAGGATAGAATTACTACATATCCATAGACTTATCTTTCAGTACAGCCTTGGAGCAAGGCTATTACCAGTACAGTTATCCAACAATGGTGCCTACCACTATTAGATACTGTTATAGTCTGAATCTCGTTAGAGCTAAACAATGGAGATAGAAATTGCACATGACTGCGAGTGAACTCTACGCAACAATGCTCGGGGAGGGTGGTGATGTCAGCACGTCATGTACAGAACTCGGAATAAAGAATGTGAAAATAAAGGATGGGTGGCCAGCCAACAAAACGCGAACAGAGATCTAGGTCTGTTTTCTTTCTTTGTCATGCAATCATCTCTTCTGTTTGTGTTTAATTACTCAAAAGGTTAAGATCAGAAACTGGTCCTGTAGGTTGTTTGTCTATCTGGGTTTTCTTATTCAGCGTTCTGGATCTCGTGTACAAAAACTCCTCCTCAAATCGTATTCTATTAAGAAAACTAAATTCTTTGACTTGATTTCCTGCACTAACATTCAAACAGGAAGTTACATTTCAACAAAGTATAATTAACAAAGATCATATTTTTGAGCTGGGTCATAGCTAGAAGTCTTTGTTGGGAGTCTATGTTCAGGCTAATTGGCAGTAATAGCAAATATTTTAAGGTCATTCAAACTTTAATACCCTTATTATACACATGGACAAAATCACTGTTAACACTATTCACTAACTGCATGTAAACAGAAAACTGGCACCAGTTCCCAGATCAAAGCCATCATTTAACATAGTTGATAGTTATTTATCATACCAGTTTTTGTTTAAATTCTAAAAAGTCAAAATGCCATTGGTAGTATATTTTTAAATCAATATAGCATGAAAGAAAAATTACAAGTCATAAGTGTGAACTGGGAGATATTCCCTTTGGGTGATGAAGGGAAGTGGCTGTGAGTGACTGAAATGTAGGCTGGAGAAGTCCCAGGATCGAGAACAAAGGGAGATAACTTCCACAACAAGACTCAATCTGTTGGTAGAGTGCATGCTGTGTCTGCTTGACACTTCATAATGATGTCACCGGATAGAAATGCCCTCATTATACCACAGTGAACATTCCAAATGCTTACATACACTTCGAATTATACTGTCAGTAAAGAAGGTCATAGAGTGATATTTTCATGTAGAATGATAATAAACTATTTCTACAGACAACTAAATAGTAATATATGGTTTCTTAGTCATAGCTTTAAATAACCTGAATACACAACTTTTTATGGATAACAAACTCCTCTTTTCTTGAGGAGCAAGAAGTAGCCATAAAATGTTGTCACAAAGAAGATGTTATCACTAAAAAAGTGTCACATATTCATGTTCTTCCAACTTCTAAATGCCTATCAAAACTTGATATAAACCCTTTTCCCATGACGTGAGCAGATGATTGAAAAGGCATGATCCTGAAAATAACATAAATCTTGAAAAAATATCTACCATATTTGATGTAATAAGCGCACATGCCGCTCTCAAAATTAGAAATAAGGGGCTCTTATTAGAATATAATTTTAACAGATCGTAAATTTCGTGGTTTATGCTAACAGCCTGAAATGATACCAAAGAAAAGTCTGTGTGTATTATACACGACAGATATATTACCCAGAATTTAATTGCCCATAATTAAGGGTGCGTATTATACACGAATAAATAAGTCTTGGATACATTGATCAATCGGAAGGGATTGTAATTGGGATTGTTCACTAGCCAATATATTCGCAAATATCGCCGTGGACGCTTATTAGAGCGGGGCACTTATTACGTTGAATACGGTATATTTGCCACCAAGAAGACTTTACTATGGATAAAGATAGCATTGCCAATAGTTTCAGGATGAGCTAAAGTCATCAATGTTGAGTGGGAGGACTAAAAGTATGGGTTCACACATTGAACCCCCATGGGAATCGAACCAGGGACTTGCATTGTCAAGCAAATGCTTCAACACTAGTAACACTATGTGTCTTCTACAAGACGGAGCGCACACCCAGCTATAAGGGAATAATCTCCCTTGTATGCTGAGCCATCCCCCTTCTATCAATGAACTTGTTCACTTGGTTCAATCTATCACAGCTGTAACTTTGTTCAATCTATCACAGCTGTACTATTGCACTAAAAGTTACTACCGGTACTCTCAGTTGAACTGTCTACTTCCTTGTTACTGTACTACCCAACTCAAGGTGATCAAAGTTCAACACAACTACCTTCTCAACTGCAGGGAAAACTGCGGATCATGCAAATTCAAATATATACCCAGTAATGATATATATGATAGACCAATCCCACCTTTTTCTGATCAAACAAAGGAACCGCTAACAAGGGCGTTTTTTCCCAATCAATCTTATGTTTCCCTCTCAAACAGCAAATTTATTAATAAGATATTTGTTCAGGAACAGTGGGACAGTGCACTTGGCCCTACTCCAAACAGTGATCTTAGCACTACCAATATCCCATCTCAAATACTTTAACATAACATACATTGCAGCCATATTGCTGAGACAGAATTGTGAACTAGGGCCATGTCTTTCAAGTATGCTACAGACTAGTGAGACTAAGTAATTTGATGGATATCCTTACCTCTCTCACACCATCCTTAGGTGGAAACTCTTCACTTTCACGAATACTCCCAGGGTAGGAGTTGCGGGGTGTTGATGGAGAGAACACACTGATATCCTCGTACTGGTGATCGGAGCACATGGAGCTGCGGTTGGAGCGGTTCATGTCGGGGCTGTAGTTGAAGGACCCCCGTGACCGGAGTCTGCTCCACTCCGTCTCCTTGCGCTGCTGTCTCGCCATGTCGATGTAGTCACTGCTGCTGCGGGACGATGACCGCTTAATACTGTCGGCCCGATGGGCCTTGGAAGCATTCATATTCTCTGAAGCCTTGTTGATGAGATCAGTGACCGATTCAGTGGGTGACGTTCCTGGGATGTATTCGTACATGTTCGACCCACTTGAGTCAGCACCCTGTGTGTCTTCTGAGCCAAGGCTTCCTGAAGAACTTTTCTTCCCAGTTTTCATCTCCATGAAGGTCCGCACAGCTTCTTGTTGCCGCTTCTTAAGGTCCTCCCCCTTCCCCACAGTCTCATCAGGGACTGACTGAGATTGGTGAACAGAGTCGGCAGGATTGTCATCAATGGATGAGGCCCTCGGTCTGTCAGGCCTCTCAGCAGCTGGATAGGAGTTCCTGTCATCCTGGTAAGAATCATCATCTTTATATGATCCTCTATCATCCTTGAAAGAGTTTCTATCACTGTTTCTGTAGGAATTCCTATCCCCTTCCTTGTAGGAATTCCTATCACCATCCCTATACGCACCTCTGTCTTTTCCAGAAGCTAAGGAACTAGTTGAGTCTCTATAGGATCCTTTGTCACTGTCTTTGAAGGAGCCCTTATCATCATCATCAGCTACCACTTTGTCCACCTCACTGAAAGAACCCTGGTCATTCCTGTCTCTCAGTTGGTTGAGTTGGTCTGAGGACATTCTTTTGAGGCTTGACCTTTTGGTCTCCTCTTTCCACTTATCTCTGGTGGCACGCCAGTCCGAGGAGCGGGGATATTTGGAATCATACACAGTAGAGTCAGGAGGACCACCAGACATTCGTTGCCGAGAAGCAGAATTATCTGCCTCTTCCTGAATCTGGTCCAAGGGCTTTGGATCTGATCTGGAACCCCGATTATTAGGATGGTTCATTTGCACATAATCTGTTGCACTATGCATACCATTTTTACCATCAGGACGTCCTGCCCGTAATGTTCCCTCTGTTTCATCGTAAATCCCATATGCTTTCTTCATTGATGGTTGACGGCCTACACTTGCTGTGCTGGACTTAGCATCTGAACTGCTCACACGAGCGTGAACATCCCCTTCCCTAGGCATTGGGGACCGCTCATCCCCAGTGAACACAGAATCATAAGAGTCTAGCCGTGAGTCATGGTCCCTCTGCATGGGTGCTGGGGGGGAATCCTCATACTGGGTGCTGCCAGAAGTGCGAGTGTCTGTGGAACTCTTTGGTTGAGAAGGGGTAGAGGAATCAGAGCTACGACATGATGCTGATCTCCGACTGTTGATAGAGGATTGGGAATCTTGAGACTTTCGCTGAACACTAAACAAATTCTCTGCATAAGATGCACTCTTTTCTCTTTGATGTGTCAAAGTTGAAGCTGAGCTCTGACGTGGCAAAGAGCCACGAGACCTATTGGACATCATAGACGGGTCAAGGCTGTATCTGCCCCGAGGCATGTTACTCTTGCTGCTCACAGAATCTCCCACAGAAGACACATCACCACGAGAATCGGACAGACTAGACTTGGAGCCAAAGTCATCTCTCCCAAAAGGAGCTGAATTTTCTGAAGGGTGTATAACAACACTAGTGTATGACTCTGCCTCTCTCATCCCTGTGTGATGACTTGCATCCTGAGAAGAGGCAGACGACAATCTTTTTTCTTGTTGATGTGGAATTCTACCTCCATAGTACTCCTTAGCCAGACTACGAAGCATGGACTGAGTGCTGGGATCATATTCGGAGTAATGTGGCATCACTATACTTTTCTTACTCTCTGTATTACTTTGCTCTTCTGGTAAATAATCTGCTGCATATTTTGCCTTAATATTTTCAAATCCTTCAAATTTAGAACTGCTGCCTTCATACCCATAACCCATTCCTTTACCACTGTCCCCACCCGAGGCTGATTTGTCCTTGGACAGATCTACATCATGTTTCTGTGAGGACCGTCGAGCCTGGGAGGATTTCTCCTCGAACCCTTTCTGACCATCTGGCAAGGACATGGAAGTTCGCGCACCCTCTTCAGTCACCTGCACCTCAGCATTGCACTGTTTGGGATCAGCACTTCGGATAGAAGTTTTGATTGCATAGGAGGACACATCCGTCTGTGTGCTTGTGTTGTAATATGGAGTCTGTTTCACAATGTAAGCCTTTGACTGCTGAATCTGAGCAGATGGCTGATCACTAGGAACACCAAATTTGGGCGGATTTTTCTTATCTTGGGGGCTCTGAAGCGGACTTGTACTTGAGTCTACTAATGTTTTTTCCTTAGCACTTTTATTATCACTGATTGGTCTCACACTTAAGGGTGCACGAGTGTCCTCAACAGGACTGTGCATGGAGCTCGAATCCTGATGGTCTAACCTATGAGCCTTGGCCTCTTTCTCATACTGACTAGAAAACACAGGCGCTGGGTAGGCTGAGACAGATGCTTGTGAGGAAGCCAGTTTATCACTAAGTTCACTCTGGTCCACACCCGGAATATCCCGTTCTGGAGGGGATGGAACACTGTATTCTTTATCACCTAAGTTGTGTCCATCTGAATCAAACCTTGGAGGAGGATACCCAGGCTCAGAGTTGAACAAGTCCTCAAATTTGTTCTTACCAATGTTTTCATAATTCTTTTGCACTACCCTTCCGTATTTGTCATACACAAACTCTGTTTTAAATCCGGGGTCACTCTGATTCCGGGCTGATTTGCCATCCTCACCCTTCCTATCAGATTGTGGACTTTTTTCAAACACAGGTCTCAAGTTAGAGTGGTGGATATACCTGGGTTTGGCTCCAGGGTGAACCTCCTTCTTAGTGTTTGTATGGTCCGTCCAGGACTGAGCCCGTGCTGTGATCGGCTGGCCTGTCTCGCCAACTTCATTAGGCTTTGTCACAGGCCAGGATGGGTACTTTTCATGAGCTTGGTTATAGCGCCCATATTGCAGACTGGAAGGATCCCTCACAGGTGGGACAGGTGGGTGGCCAGGTGAGTGCCCAGGGGAGTGCATAAGTTCATGTTTTGGTCTGGAGGGAATTATTGGAGCATCCATATCGGCTTCATCATCTTCTATCTCAGATATTTTTTCACTGCCCAAAGGTTCAATACCAAAAGCAGAAATATTCTCATAATCTGCCCTGTACCGTCCTAAATGATGTGGGGCTGACCTGCGGCTGTACTTATCACTTTTCCTTGTATCTGAATATGTTTCATCATTGGTGTACATGTTTGGTCTTGGCTTCTGGTATTTGGGACCACTCTCCTTGTTGTACATACTCCAGGCACTGTTTGGTGATGGTGGGTGATGGACACTTCCTGATCCCCTCACGTCAAGCCGTTTTGGCCGTATGGGGTTACCATAACGATTATCCTGACCAATATCCTCACTGATATTTGGACTGGACTTGGCAGGAGAAATGGACGGCTTCTGAGTACTACCAGAATAAGGAATGTTCTGCGGTAAGTCTTGGTTCAGACTTGGAGTAGACTTTGCTGATACCAGCTGTCTGCTGCGTGATACTCCATGAGACACAGCATCTCTTTGCTCTGCCTCTGAGAAACGTCTTCGTCCCTGGTTTGGGGGATCTTGTTGACCTTGGTTCCCTTGGTAACCTTGATTTTGACCTTTGTCTGGAGGTCGTTGCCAGGGAGGATCATGGGAAGTCCTTTTCTCCTCTCTTCTGTTTGTGGACTTTGCCACACTGAAAGGAAACAAATTATATGTATAAATAAACTTGAATCAATTTTGTAGATTAGACATTTCTTAAAATCTAAAATGTTAGTAATGCGACTGTCAGGTAAATAAATACATATACTTTAATTATCTGAGCATATATGCATTTCAAGAATACATTAATAAATACCTCATTTCGATCACGCAACCAGAATGCCGTTCAGAGCTAAATATGCTACTATTTTCCTAACTACAAGCCATGTAACTGTAGCTTAGCTGCACCAGCAAAAACAGGGAACAAAGACTGAACCAGCATATCTCCTACACAAACATTCAGCCAATGAGACATCATTAATTACCTGTCTCCTGCAGGACACCAACCTACTCGGAGGTCACAAACTTGTAGTGATACAGCTTTGTCATGTCACTGACTACATAACCTGGTAGCTACCTTCAAATAAGTCACAAAATACCTTCAAAATACCTCAGGCAAAATCGGATGCTCATAGACCACACGTATGGATCAGTTTCTCAACTTTATGGAACAGCTTCATCATAATCAGTGATTTAGAAAAACTTCATTTGGTGATATATTGGAATAAGATACTTTGGTTCCAGATTATTCCAGCTGAGCCAGCACACATAAGGGGTTAGAGATTGTCTTGGTTTCTATAAATACAAGTGAGAGATAGCCCTTGTCCCTTGCCAGCATCATTCAAATTGTTTAACATAAACTTCTCTGGTTTCAAGGCCATACATGTGTCCCCTGTGCAGCAATGTTACACATGAGAATGATCTCCTGCAGTGTTATATCTTAAATTAAAATGACAATTATGTTTCTTCTACTCAGCAGTACATACTACTCGAAAAAGTTAAGGACCACTGATTCTTTCATAGTTAATCTGTCATGCCTCGACCTTTATTGACCAGTATATATGGGAAGTGAGTGTATGTCTCGCACCACAGGAAACATATTCCAGCTATATCATTGCAGGATGTTAATATAGGGTCTGGACCAGGCAAACCAGTGGGTGAAAGCATGAGCAAAAACACGAGGCATTGGTAAATTGGCACACAATCAGCCAGTTCACACATTGTGACCTACACTCCTAAGTTGTTAGGTTTTGCGGAAAGAATGGGGTACAAGTGACACGACAGTAAAAAATATACCCTAAACTGGCACACAATTAGACAGTTCGCACATTGCGACCACCCACATCAGTAGTCAGGTTTTGTGGCAAGTACTAGTGACAGGGCTAATGAGTGGTTTTACGTCATTTTTAGCAATATTCCAGCAATATTACGGCAGGGGAAACCAGAAATGGGCTTCACACATTGCACCGATGTCAGGAATCGAACCCGGGTCTTCGGCGTGACAAGCGAACACTTTAACCACTAGGCTACCCGACCGCCCCACATTGCACCCATGTCAGGAATCAAACACGGGTCTTCGGTGTGACAAGCGAATGCTTTAAGCACTAAACTACCCGACCGCCCTGACAGGGCTAATGACTAGTGACAGTAAATAGAATATATCCATCCATTAAAAATAAGTCTGCAAATTTTGCCATTTTGTTTCTTTGACATCACCAGAAGCATTAGGGTTGCATCAGCCTGTATTTGGCGGATAAAATCTCATCAACAATAGCGGCAATTAGTCTGGCTGTATATAACTGAATAACCTCTACTTCTGATCACATCAGGAGAAAATCAGAGACAGTGATTGCAAGCCTTCATTGATATATACTACCGACAAAAGAAACGCGAATACCACACATGTTGGTAAATATATGAAGAACTACTCATATTCTGCTGATATAAGATCAGTTCGAAAAACAAACGAACATACTGGTACGTTGTGTGAATCGCCGCTCATGAACGCATCACGTGACGTCATAGATCCATGACTTGAGATGCACCATTTGACTCATGCAGGATAAGCGTGTAAAGTTGGAAGCACATCGCAGCATATCGTGATAAGAGTAAAGATACTGTGGTAACACTTGACTGATTGTTAGTTTTTTCATTGGAAACATCTCTTCTTAACGCACATACTTCTCTATATGTTTTGCGTTTCTTTTGACAGTGAGTATATATCCAACTTTCAAAACAGGAATGAGTGAATTTTGACCACCCGACAAGGTATGATACCTCCTATGGATGTATGACGGTAGATGGACATTCTTATTCTAGACTTGCACAAGTCTCTAAGGCAATAATTATTAGTTTAAATCATAATTTCTAGATTATATAAATGATAAGAACATGTTGTCCCTATGAATCCTGTCAACATCTTTAGACTTGCTTATTTGGAGGATAGAATTACTACACATCCATGGAGTTTTCTTTCAGTACAGCCTTAGAGCAAGGCTAGTCTTTATAATTCCTATGAGAGGTAACACCATGTATCTTAGCTCAAATTCTCCGCATATCCCAAGCAATGAGATATGATTGAGATCAATGAGCTCATATCTCCTCCTTACACCTGCATAAAACACATATCGTATTACACAGATATACGTTATATCAACCAAGTGGACATGGCTAGTCACTGATGCTATCTAGTGACCACATAGTTTAGATAAGTCATTACTATTATGGATCTAGTTGCTTCTATTGTCAGGCTAACGGTCCACCCTTATCACTTGTGGCACAATATCAGTCCAACAATACCTACAGTTTAGGATGTCAAATCGCACACATAGATGCATACCGTGATGAATACCACGCCACGAAAGATGAATACGCTGCCACGAGGTGGGGACAGATTGGTTGTGATAAAAAGCGTGAGAACATATTTCAGACAGTTAACTTGATAATGATCAATTGTCATGAAAAAGTTGGTTGGTTAGTTGGTTTGTTGTTTAACACCGCACTCACCAATATTCCAGCTATATGACGGCGGTCTGTAAATAATCAAGTCTGGACCAGACAATCCAGTGATTGATATCATGAGCATCGATCCACACAATTTGGATCTATGACCGTGCATCAACCAAGTCAGCGAGCCTGACCACCCGATCCCGTTAGTCGCCTTTTACGACAAGCATGGTTGCCTTTTACGGCAAGCATGGGTTGCTGAAGACCTATTCTACCCCGGATCTTCGCGGGTCTTCATGAAAAAGTGTTTGGGTGTCTTGGCCTAAGAAACATCGTCATGTCTGTTGTTGCACATTTATCCGACTTGACACATACTGATTTAGTCTTCAGTGTTTTCTTTGTACATGAAAATATCAAGCAATACATTTGAAGATCTAAGTAAAGGATAAATGTACTGTGTTACAATTTTTCCTATGTTGCCTGTATGTCAGAGTATATGTGACAGCACTTAATGAATTTGGAATCAAACTCCACACTGTTCATCATGTTTCCTGGCCAAAATATATTCTTGTCTGTCCTTAAAATATCTTTGGATCACAACTTTTGTTGGTTTGGTTGGTTAACGCCACACTCATAAATATTCCAATTTGCAATAGTCTGTAGATAATTGAAACTGGACCAGACAATTCAGTGACTGACATGAGCATCGATCTACTTAACAGGATTCAGTGACATTACAACATCCACCAATTCAGCTAGCCTGGCCACCCGATTCCATATGGGACTTTCTCTTTCAACAAGCATGGGTTTCCCAAGAACAATTCTAACCCGGATCTTCGCAGGATTACAACTATCTAGTAACCCACATTTGATAATACTGGTATATCTGAAATCAGTTGGAAAGGAGAACTTTCTCATAAATGGGTCTTTCTGAGGGCAATATTGTTATTCTAAACCCCAATAGGCCATTTCAACCTATTCCCCAAATTCAAGGTAGACTATTTCTCAACAGTCAAGGTAACCGAGGTTTAAAAAATACAACACAGTTCCAATACAAAGTTCTTGAAATATTAATTGTGTTTGTCAGATAAAAACATCTCAAAATGTCATTTGTACTTCTGTCCAACATGGGTTCAATCCCGGCAACAATGGTCCAAACAGTAGAATTATACAGTAAGGTAACAGGATCCCTAGCAACACTGAGAACAATTCCATTATGATAGTATTTCATCATCAAGCACCTGTTGCTATCAGAAACTGACACTCTGTATCACCAAGGTATATAAAACAACATCACATCAAACACAACCATTTCATATCAAAATCTAAATAAAAGGAAAATGAACAGATAATAAATTGAAACATTCAAAGTCAATAACTTCCTCAGATAAGGGATCGCAATGTGAAACCCTTTCCCGAGTCGTAACGCAACACATACCTGATAACTGACAATCATCAAGAAACGAGGTACGTCTCACAGACTTGGAACTATCATGATTAAAAACAATATTGGAACTCATCTCACCTGGATCTGAGAGCTCAACAAGGTGTATCACAGGTAAGATAGGAGGAAACAATCAGCCCAAGTAATCAGTCCCCAAGAATAATCCAAGGGGCAGACATGACAGTCACATGGTAAATATTCCTGTGGGTGGGTGTAAATCCCCCACTGACTCAGTCCACCCCTAAACTCAGTACTTGTCGGTCCAACAACCACCTACTCCTACCATAGGGATTTTATGTTGAAATGTCACTCAGACCTCAGTCTCATTCAACCCACCTGGGACGACGCTGTTACTTCAGTATCAATACTCGTCAACAAAGGCAGGTACCAACAGTCGATAATCTCTTTGTTGATGTGCTAGGTAAGTACGACAAAAATGTTCTTACCTGTAATATGTGATTAAACATTATGGAGTACTAACGTAATCGGAAAGGTATGTTAGCGAACGAACAAGAAAAATACCTGCCGAGTGGACTGACCCAGAGAGGGCTATATATAGAACAAACACGCCTGTTTTACTGAATGTAGCACTGCACTGTTAATCCTGGTTGTGGCTGACGCTACCTGTGCTGGGTCCTCAGTGCATCAATAATTAGTAGCCAGGTGAACGTTATCAGCAAATCAACCAGCAGGTGTTCCAGTTGACAGAATGGATGGGCCAGACAAATGAGAATTCATTGCAGTTGTCAGAGAGGCACGACACA